AAAAGCTATAGACTTTTGTAGGTTAATTTTGTAACCTGCCACTTTACTGAACGTGTTAATAATTTCTGGGAGTTTCAAGTGGAATTTTTGGTGTCGCTTAGATATAATATATCATCTGCAAAAAGGGATAATTTGATCTCTTCTTTTCCAATTATTACTCCTTTAATTTCCTTCTCTTGTCTTACTGCTCTTATGAGAGTTTCAAGTACTATGTTAAATTGAAGTGGGGATAGTGGACAGCCTTGTCTGGTTCCTCATTTCAATGGGAATTCTTCTAGTTTTTCTCCATTTAGAATGATGTTGGCTGTGGGTTTGTTATATATGGCTTTAATTATGTTGAGGTATGTTCCCTCCAGTTCAGTTCCCTCTAGGACTTTGAACATAAATGCATGTTGAATTTTGTCAAAGGCCTTCTCTGCATCTATTGAGATGACCATGTGGTTCTTGTCTTTGAGTCCATTTATATGATTTATGACGTTTATTGACTTACATATATTGAACCATCTCTGCATCTCTGGGATAAACCGACTTGATCACGGTAGATGATCTCTTTGATGTGTGTTTGTATGCAGTTTGCAACTATCTTATTGAGAATTTTTGCATCTATGTTCATTAAGGATATGGGTCTATAGTTTTCTTTTTTGGTTGTATCTTTACCTGGTTTTGGTATTAGAGTGATGCTGGCTTCATAGAATGAATTTGGAAGTTCTCCCTTCATTTCTATTTTTTTTGAATAAGTAGTATTGGATGCAGATCTCTTATGAATGTCTGATAGAATTCCACTGTAAATCCATCTGGTCCTGGGCTTTTTTTTGTTGGGAGGTTTTGTATTACTGTTTCAATTTCTTTTTGCGTTATGGGTCTGTTTAAGCTGTTAATCTCGTGTCAGTTTAGTTTTGGTGGTTCCCATGCCTTTAGATATCCATCCATTTCTTTTAGGTTTTTAAATTTAGTAACACATAGGTTTTTAAAATATTCCCTTATAATGTTCTGTATCTTTCTGGTGTCTGTTGTGATGTTTCCCCTTTCA